ACAGATTTATACCTTTGTCATTGGTGGTAATCAAAGAAAAGAAAAGAAACATGAAAGTGGAGGTCATTTCTGTCTTGGCATCTAAAATCTGCATTATTCCTTTGGGAACACTAATTTTCTTGGCATGGAGGGATAATAAGGGTGAAGGAATGGCTAAAGAGCTGAGAGTCTAATGTCACTTGCAAATTCACTGGTTTGTCCCAAAAGCCATACTCTCTGGAGTATGGCTTCCTGACCCCATGTATTAATCTTTAAAGAGCTTCCCCATACCATTGGCAGCAGTGGGACAACAGTCTTGCCACTGGAAACAAATTACTATTCCATTTTTAATTGTGTCTAACTTTTAAATTTTTTTAAAATAATTTTTAAGCAAGGAGCCACTGTGGAAATTGTGTTAATTTTGATAGTGGATATCTGGGCTTACATAGAGATTCTGTACATTGAATGTTTTATTTTAGTGCACCTACTTGTTGTGAGAGTTGTAAGATGAGTCAGTGTTAAGAGTGAGTTACCTCAGAATTTAGAAAGACAAGAATTAAAAACAGAATTCATTCAATTTGTAGACTCTACTCTCTCAAAGAGACTGTCTCTTTGTCTCATAGATCAGTGTTTCCCAAACTCTAGAGTTCACACATGCACAGTGAAATTGGGAGAGTGATCTTGCTCCAGAATACAAATGAGCCTTTTAAATCAATCATGACTTAAATTCTGACAGTCCCAAATGAAATAATTGGGTGCATTCTAGCTATTCCATGAAAACAACGACAAAAACTGAAAACTTACTTTGAATTAATTGTCATCAGAACAGTTACATTAATATCAGGATATTTTAACATGCAATCCATCAAAATTACAATAAACTAGTGGCAATTTTATTTACATTTTATAGTGATTCAGTAACAGTATGCTTAGGGTGCTATATTAATGATAATAAAATAAGTTTTGTGAAATAGGGAGCAATTATGATTTCCTGATTCTCCAAGATATGCTTACTTCATTTTTATTTGTTTCATTCAGTTGTTCATATTCCACAGGTATAAACATAGTTTTCATAAAATGTTAATTTATGAGATATTAAGCAACCTTTATAAATGATGATTGTGAATATAATATACTAACAGAGAATAAGGACAAAAATTAAAAGGCAGAGAGTGAAACTTCATTAATGCTGCAAATTTGCATTTTTATCTGAAATAAATATCTCTAAATTAATTTAATAACTGAGGCTCAACAAAGAGTTAAGAAGATTTGATATTTACAATCCATAGATATGCTCAGGAAAGAGTAATTTGAATTTTCTCAAATAGTACCAATGTAGCAATTGCATGAGCTATCATATATCTACTTTACTGATGATTAGTTCATCAAATGTCATACAGCCATATATGGAAGTATGAGATTCATATGTAGATTAGGAAGAATGTAATATATTAATAAATTTTAAGAACTGTTAGATTAGTAAAATCTTAATAAAAGTTGTACATCAAAAAATCAAAAGTTAAATAATTATTTTGTTGGTATGATATCAGAAAGAAGTAGGCTTTCTTACTTTTACTAGATGACAAGCCTAGAGTCAGATAAACCTTGATATAAACGCCAACATTGTTACTGAATAGTGTCTTTGTGGCCTTGGGCAGGCCAATAATAACCTTCTAACTACAGTGTCCTCATTTGTAAAACATAGTAATTCCTACCGTATACATTATTGAAAGGATATGAGATAATGAATGTGTGTAGTATTTAATAAATAATAACTTTTAATTATGTTGCAAACTTTTGGATACATTCAGTCACTAATTTCTATTATGAAGTACAGTAAGGTTGAAAGCATATTTGCTCCTCTGTTCATTTCCTATATTTTATCTCACTTAATTCTCAGAACTATATGAGATATCATATATCCACTTTACTTATGAAAACTAAATAATGTCATGCAGCCATATCTGGAAATATAGGATTCACACTTAGACTTGTCCTACTTCTAACCCATGTTCCTGGCTCTAGGCAGTGCTGCCTTTTTTTGGTAGGGAGAGTGTTACTGGGGTTTTAACTCAGGGCCTTGCACATGCAAGGCAGGTGCTTTATCACTTCCAGCCCTATGCTGCTTTTGTGTGTGTGTGTGTGTGTGTGTGTGTGTGTGTGTGTGTGTACTGGGGTTTGAACTCCAGGCCTCATGCTTGCTAGGCAGGTACTGTCTAGCCAGCCCTGTTTTGTATTGGGTATTTTTGAGATAGGGTCTCAAGAACTATTTGCCCAGGGCTGGCTTTAAACCACAATCCTCCTGATCTCTGCCTCTTGAGTAGCAAGGATTACAGGTGTAAACCACAAGCACCTGGCTCTATACTGCCTTTTGATGTACTATCTTCAAAATAAAATCTAAGAATATTTCTTAGAAACAAAGATAGGAATATTACCTGGCTAAGAATAGTTATAACAAAACATTACTATTCATGAGAGTAAAAACTGTACACCTTACTGTATCTTTTAACATATTTAGTTTATACTGTGGAAATTTATTTTCTTCACTATATAAAAACACCAAAAAAAATGTAACAGTCATGTCATAAAAACCAAATGGAATATCAGTATGGCAAAACATATTCAAATTGTTAGGGCTTTAATCCTGGGCATGCCTATGGCTGTTGGATATAAAATAAATTTGCAAGAAGTTACCAAATGTTGCTATATCAACCTAAGTACTCAGGCATGACTGTGAAACAATAGACAGGGTTAATGATTCATCCCTAATCCTAAAGACTCCTTCCAGGATTAATTGACTTTCTCTATAGCCTGCTTGCCCACCTTCTTGTAGGTCTTGTCAGGAGGATTTCTCTGCATTGCTTTGCCTCTTTTCTCCCTATCTTTCTACTTCTACGTCATTATCTGATCTCTTCTCTACCTGCCCAACCCAAGAGGAATCAAATCCAGTAGAAAATATCAAGCTAAATGGACTTAAGTTTGAAATAAAGCTGACTTGGTTCAAAGGAAAGGACAAATCTTTTTTCAATCTGGTATTTTATTACTTTTTCCCAAATCACAAAACTATGACTACTTGTTAAAATAAATATTAATTGATAATCTATTATGTATCAGACAACAGAAAGGAGATATAGATATATAGATATATAGATATATATACACAAAATCTCTGCCTTCAAAATACTATGTATTTAGAGAAAAGGATAAGTTAATGTCACACTAAAGTAGGTCCAAAAAGTGCTATGAGACTGCAAAGAGCCTACAACAAATCAGTAGATAAAAAATAGACAAAAGAAAAATTTATGAGATTCCTTTAAATGGATCAGGTTTCAATTTACGTACATCCAGGGGAAAAGGCATCCTCATTGAGGGAAGCCAGCATGAACAAAACAATGACAGCTGGGGTGAAGCAAAGGCGACTAGGGTAATAATTTAGTGAGGGCATAAGCTATATGCTGAAAAGTAAGAAGTAAATGATAAGATAGGGAACTGGAACTTAATCATAATGAACACTGAATGTCAAGGTGAGAAAGATTTGTCTTTCAGATTAGAAATTATGAGTCAATGAAAGTTGCTGAGCAAAGGAGAAATACGATTGAATCTGAACTTGAAAAGTCTGTTTGGAAACATTGTATTGAATGAGCTAGAAAGACAGAGTCAAGGCCAGGTTAGGAAAGTGAGAATATGATAATTCAAGGGAATTCAAAAGGCAGGACCTATATTTTGGCAAATGATTAAAGATGAGCTAGCTAGTAAGGCAGACACAAACACATGTTGGTATTGTGCTTAAAATGTGGTTAGTCTGAACTGAGATTATACTGGTTTTCAGAGACTCAGTATGAGAAAAAGAATGTAATATATCTCAATAATTTTACATTGGTTCCATAGTTAAATGAAAATGTATTATATTATTGTATTACAGAAAACTATTGAAATTAATTTCACCAGTTCCTTTTTTACTTTTTATGTGGCTACCAGTAACCTTTGAATGAAATATGAGGCTGCATTATATTTCTCTTGGTCAGCCCTGGACTAGTTGTCAGGACAGAAGGAGACAGCAAGGATGCTAGAAAAAGACTGGCAGAAGGGATCTGGGTAATAGTGTGACAGAAAAGCCAGAGGGGGAGTTTCTATATCTGTTTATTTTATGAGGCCATTAGTGGCAAGATCATATGCTAGGCAAGAGCCAAGGAAGCTGAATAATAATAAGAATGAGCCATTTCAGTTTTCCTCAGGTAAAGAAGTATATTAAGACAGAAGAATATGATCAATGGTAAGTAGAGTGAGCTGGTAGCTACTCTGTCAGGAAACAGCAAAGAGAATGAAAATAAGAAAGCAATGGTGAAGGGTAGAGCAAGTCTCAGATTATTTTCTTCCTGTGTAGATCTGGCTATACTTATAGGCACAGGAGAGGAGGAGGGGAAACATAGTAAACAGGAAAAATAACTGCTGAACAAGAACTTGCACCTGAGGATTCTGCAGTGATAACCACAAAAAAAAAAAAAAGAAGAAGAAAAGGTGAAGATAGAAGATACCAAGAGAGGTATATGTGACAGCTATTTTATTTTTATATTCACAATAAGAGATGACCAAAAAGATCATTTGTGAATGTCACTTGTCTTGAAAAGAAAAGAAGGGGCTATCAGGAAATTATTGTCTGAGAAAGAGAAGAAAGAACCTGAACCATGCTGGGGTAACATTTTTTCTAGTCTTCCTTGGCTGGTATTGGCTTTTGGGAGTGCTGTACATTTTGCTTGGTTGCTATATATAGTCTTATACATTCCTCCTTCAGTAACAGCTTCAAGATTATGAAAGTGATTCACTTATCTCAGCAGAAAGAACAATATGAATTTTCTTTGTAAATTTTCCTTTCTAAACATTATTCTAAATTCTTCTTATTTTTTTTTAGTTCTTATATTTGGTAAAAGCCTGCTTCATTGAGAAGAAAATACCTGTTTCTATTCACTGATAAGGACAAAACTTATTTCACATCCTCATGTACTATCACCCACGTGTCTTACTTTGAATGGCCTCTTGTTCCAAGCCGCCGTGTTGTTAGGAGGGGAAATTTCTGGCGAATTGTCTAAAAAGAGAAACAATTACTTTAATTTTTAGAAAGTATGTTGTTCTAATGCAAGCTACTCATAACCAACTAATTAAGGAATGAAAAATTTGGACTCTGAACTACAAGTGAATACTTAATCTGAAAAAAGTAATATCATATACAGAGTTATAAAAAATACCTCAGGTGGGGAGGTATTGTTTTGATTTTGATCATCAATTACTGAGGCAGATCCTACCAGTATCTTCTTGCCTTGATGTTACTACTGAGACAATTTTTTTTTTGTCTAGAAGAGGAATGTTTGGGTTTCTTCAAAATAATTCCATCTGCAATGGGAAATAAATACCCACAATTAAATAACTCTCCCCAAGGGTCCACACATGAACTTCAGAGGATTCCATAGCGAACTCTATATTGTGTTAATTTCTTGGTGGCTGTGTCTATAGCTTTTGTCAGATTCTCAAGGTGTGTCATTACTCCCAATTAAGAATCACTGTCATTATAATAGATAGAGTGAACTTATTCAAAGTACACTGTATCCATCTATGGAATCATCATAATGAAATCTCTTGTACTATAAATATGCTAATAAAAGTAGTAAAAAAATTGCCATAAAGGAGATCCATAAAACGATAATGTTAATGTGGAAATTGGAAGTTGTATACAATTTCAGTTAGTGAACGGAGCTTTGGAGAGATTGTTTTTCAGAAAGTCTCACAACATATTAGTGACAGTCACGGGCTAGATTTTAGGTCATGTGCCATATTACATTGCATCTGTTAACCAGCAGGTTTTCAATTAAAAAAAAAAAAAACAACTGGGAACCTGAGCATGGTAGCTCACACCTGTAAATCAGCACTCAGGAAGCAGAGACAAGAGGGCTACATAGGAAAATGCTGTCTAAAAAAAAAAAAAAAGAAAGAAAAGAAATCTCCAAACTGGGGAACTGGACCATTGTGGATCATAGTTTTCATTATTTTCTGGACAATGAGTCCCTCTACAGGTTGGAGTTTGGATTTCAGTTTATATGAGATACAATATTTGAGACCCAAGTTTCTCACCATTTTCTTGAGATACCCTAGGTTCTCAGACAACAGAGCACACAAGGATCTCAAAGAATGAGTCTCTCCCAAGAGATAAATATTGTTTCCTGATTCTCAAAATGATATCAACATATACAACTACACTAATGTGAGCTACACAGGTTCCCATCCTAACTATACAGGTTGGATAGGAAGAAATGATTTTGGTTTTGTTTTTGACAGTACAGGGGTTTGAACTCAGGGCCTTGCACTTACTGGGAAAATACTCTACACTTGAGCCATGCTCCCAGCCCATTTTGCTTTATTTATCTTTTAAATAAGGTCACATATTTTTGTCCAGGGCTGGCCGGGACTGCTATCTTTCTATTTATACCTCCCTTATAGCTGGAATGCCAGGCAGACACCACCACACCCAGCTTATTGATTGAGGTGGAGTCTTGTGAACTTTTTGCCCTGGCTGGCCTCAAACCATGATCTTCTAGATCTCTGCCTCTAGAGTAGCTGGGATTATGGATGTGAGCCACTGTGTGCAGTCAAAAGAAAAGCTTTAAAGTAGCAGAAGTTTAACTAATCCCATCATAAAATTTTTAAGTTTAGGATATAAGCACATTCAGTGTGAAACAGAGAATTAGGAAAACTATTTAGGTAATAGAATAAAAACATGTACTTGGACTATCTAAATAATAAGGATAACCACATTAACGGGAAATTAGCAGCATTAACAGGATATTTGTCACCTTCATTTAATTTTACTTCTCACAGGACTTTAATGCATCCCTCTTTGAGGGGAAATGCTACTGTTAAATGGACCTTGCTTTAGCTCACTTTAAATCTTCTGATAATCAGGACTCTAATATTCAAAATTAAGGTATAAACATACAACAGTTGGAAACACAGTCCTTAAGAGATTTCATTCATGCCTGTAAAATGAATGTCTTAATATTCTGTAAGAGAACTTGCTGAGATGAATTTGTTTCCATGCTGTATGACTAGCATGACTTTAGTTGTAAAGTACTACACTACAGCCAATACATTTCATATACCTTTCCAAAGGTGGCTGCACAGGCTGGCTCCAGTTTCTCTTTCCTGCAGAAATCTAAATAGTGTGCATAAAGGATACACCGTGGTAGGCAAACTCCTTCACACACTATGTAATTTTCTTCAAGCCTGAGAAAAAAGACTAAATATTAGATCAAACCTTTGCTTTATTATACCTTCCCCCCTTCTCAGTGACCTAATGCTCATTTTGAAAACAGACTATACAAAGAAGTTAATGAGTGGACATGAGTAGACTTCCTTTATTTTAGACATTATTAAAATCTTATCAGGATGAATATAATTAATAGTAGTACACTCTACTCAAAATAGTTAGAAGAAAGAAATTTTAATGTACTCACCATAAAGAAATTATAAAAGGTTAAGGTGATAGTTATGCTAGTTACCTTGTTATCCCTACCCAATGTATACATGAATCAACATATTACGTTTTACCTCATAAATATGTATAAATATTATGTGTAAATCAAAAATAACTTTTTTAAATAAAGGAGATTACCCTGGATGGCCTGATCTAATTTGGTGAGCCCTAGAAAGAAGGTCTAGATGTCAAAGACAGAGGACAGGAAGATTGGAAATAGTAGCAGACACACTCCTAAAGATCTTGAAGAAGCAAATGCTCTCATATTTTGAAGATCAACTGTCAGGGAATGACAGATAATCCCTAGGAGCTGAGGTCCTCAATTCGACAGTTACAAGGATTCAATTAAAAAACCAGGGAGATTAGGAGAAAACTAGAACATCCGATGAGACTTTAGCATCAACCAACTTCTTGATTTCAGCCTGGTGAAAGATACCAAGGTTACCCACCCTAGATGCCTAACACACACAAAAAAATGTGTGGTAATGAATTTGTGTTGTTTTGAAACAAAACAAGAGATCACAAAGATTAATATTAGAAGAGCAAGAAGACATTGAACATCTGCTAGTTAGGGAAGTATGGTGCAGCATTTGTTCAAAATATACATTCAGGCAAACTCATTTCATTTAGCTCAAATGATACTGCTCTATTTCTATCCTTATACCTGTTCATTCTGATTAGTGCCATAATTATAACTTCATAGATACATGAAGTTTATATATTATATAATAACATAACTTCATAGATGGCTCCAAACATAACACATATAACCAACTGTGTATTATAAATGTAACTATACAAACTTTGAAAACTTAAATATAATTTCACTTAATTTACAATTAAATGAAATTTATAAAAATACAATGACTGAAATTGTGTGATAACTATCTAAACAGCAATCTAGAAATCAGAACTTGTAGATTCTTCTCCCAGTTTCTTTATTCTAACATCTCAGTAGATGAGTTTAGCTAGAATTTATTTATGTTTAGTAAAATCCTAACTTGTACTACAAGAATGACACAATATGAGGTATGCATTCAGATTAAAATTGGGTGACATTTTTCAAGACTTCTGATTTAATGTATTCTCAATGTTCACAAGACAAAAAGTTAAGGGAGACATTCCCTTAGCAGGTAAAATATCAGATGCACATTCTTCTATGAAGAAGAAAAAAAGAACAAAAACTAAGACCTAGTGTTTCAAAACAAATTAATTTGCATACACAAAATCAAATGCCTAACTTACAATGAAAATTGGAGTTAATCAATATTTTTTCACTTTGATTTCCATTTCTATTTTTTCATTTCTAATTTTTAACACTTACAAAATAATTTATAGAAACTTAAAGAAAAATTTACAAAGTACAAATTAACTCTTTTTAAAAAATGTATAATACTTATTTTTCAGAAGTATAGAAAATTCACACAAAAAATGACAGTGTCTCATAGTTTCAAAAATATGACAATTGTTATGAAAAATATCTAGCTATTCAAAAATTGTATTTTAATGACATGTAAATAATTCCCACTTGTCATCTATTTTGATATTGTTGTAGGCATTATTTTGTCTTTGAAATACTGAATTATCCTAGACATAAGTAGAATATTAATTTTGAGTAAATCCAAGATTGTTTCCAATCACTCAATTTAAACTGAAAAAGTGGGGTTGATCATTGAAAACACCTCCACAATATATCTGAAATCAAAACAGTTTTGTCCCTATTATCTTAATGAAATTAATTGTATCTTAAATATTCTAGATAATTAGTTCAATTATTTACAGCTCTGGTGTATTCTTAACTAGTAATCATGACATCAACTTCAGCAGTTAAAATATAACTTTAGATGAATATTTGTTTTATATTTCAAATATTTGTAAGGGGCCAAGCATATGCTCACAAAAATTCAATATATGTAATTGCAATTTATTGTTTCTAAAATAAAAATAAAATTTAGTAGTATTTTAACATTCTATTTTTCTATTGCATTGTTCTAAACTTTAGATCATATTGTATATTTAAACAGGTCTTATAACTAATCAGAAAATAAGTAGTCCTTTTATTTATTTGTTTATTATTTGGAATTCGGGAAGAAATTTATACTCCTATTTCTTCATTATCACTCTACTGATAGTCTCTTGGTTTTAAAAGGTTTTCAACAAAATCCAATTTGTGATATTTCACTGTAGTAAATCATATATGACAGGTGCTATAAAGTAGTTGAACATTTGTTTAAATTAATAATGATATCTTAACTGATTTTTTGAAGTTTTCTACTTCAAATACAAGTCGTCCAGTTTATGGCCACCACACTATTTCTAATTTGCCCTCCTACAGATTCAGGTTAAGATCCTTCCATCTTCCAAGTTATTTTGAAGTATGATGTTTTATAAACACAAAAATTGCCAAATAACAAAAATACAAGAACCAAATTGCATGTTAAGCAAATAAGTCAAAGACAAATTCGTCACTGCTCACATTTGAAGAAATTATGATTTTCATCAATAATGTATCTCAGACCGTTTTTCATAAACCAGAATGTGTCTCTATATTAAATAGACAGTTAAAAATGAATGAATTTCTAATTGGACTTTTAACAAAAAGTTTCAGAGAGAGGGAAACTGAAAAAGCAAAGATCCAATGACACTGGCTTTTCAACCTTCAACAGGTGCACGCGCCTCCGCCTGTGGGCCAGTCTTACCACTGCAGCGTGAGTTGAGTCTGCTTCTTTTTATCCTTCATAATTTGCGTGATGGTTTTCTTCTGAGAGAGGTGTTGATCGGCTGTTTTGCTTTTGCTGTAGTGATTGTCTGCATCCTCTTCTTCAGAGGAAAAATTTCCGTTGCTTAAGTGCATTTCTGTTTGCAAATTTGAGAAAAGCAGAATATGTCATCAATTAAGTAGTCTCTAAGTACAAATTTGTGTTGAATAGGGTGCCCTCGAGGGAAGGGGGCGGAGGAGCTATGCAAAATCCCTTAGAGTGGACAATAAACATTTTTCCTGGGGAAATGTAATGATCCCGACAGAACATTCTACGCATTTGTATTTTTGAGATGTGTTTATTTTTATTACCGGATGCCTTTCTTAGACTACATCCAAGTCCCCGTCTTCTCCGGGGCGGGAACCCCGCACTCACCTGACTTCACTCCCACCCGCAGCTCCGCGTCCTCCGCATTCTCCCCGCTGCCCAGCGCGCCCCGGGGCTGCGCTTCGGCCGCCAGGTACGCTCTCTCCTCCGCGTAGACGAGCAAACCCTTGCCCAGGAGCTGCACGCAGCACTCCTCCTGGATCTCGGGGGAAAGTTGGGGCAAAGGCTGCGCTTGCAGGAAGGCGTCCTCCAGTTCCCGGACCTTGGCCATCCTCCTCGCCGCCCAGAGCTCGGCACCAGCACCAGCCGCTGGGCCCGCGCGCCGCGGCGGAGCCCCGAGTCCTGGGCGGGGCGGGGCGGGGCTGGGGACCTGTGGCCGCAGGGGCGGGGGAGGAGGCCACAGGCTTCGGAGCCCCTGGACGTCAGAGGAGGGACGCAGGGCACCGGTACAGCCCAGGCCGCCCCTGGGCGGACTGCCCGTCTTCACCTGTCCACCGTCCAGCAGATGCTCCACTGGGAACTCACTTCCTCAACTGCGTCCGTCACGCCCGGAGCCATGGAGTCCCATTCCTGCTTCCTCCCTTTCTCTATTCTGACGTTTGACCCTGAGTAACTTTTCACACCCAAAAAGTCCAGAAAGATTCCAGGAACCTGTGCTCTTCTTCCTGGAGGAAGAGCAGCTTTAGTTGTCCCCATCCCTACTCCAGGAACACATAAATGTGGCACCTGGCCAGTCTTGATTCTGCACACCTGAGTCAGAAAAAAAGTATATCCCAGAGTACTGCCCAGTTTTTGCATGGAGTGGGTTCAGGCTTATTTATTCCCCCAGTAATGTGAGAGATTAGTGAAGGCTCTTTACACTGACAGGGACAGAGCTTATCCCATCACACAACTGCCATGTCTGTGGACTCCTGGACCTAGCTGCCCTCCAAAATGTGGCCTTCTGCATGGAGGAAACAATTCATTCACTCCCATTTATAGTATTTTGTAATTTGAACGTTTCCCTGACTATTCCTCATCTCATGCCTAGCAGTAGTCAAAAGGACATTTGCTTAAATAAAAAAAACACAATCGAAATGATTTTTTTCCTCCAAAATGGTAAGAGCTACATTTGGTGGGGAATTTGTTATGCTCGCTTAAGCAAGAGCACTTGGTGGAGGCCTGAGGTCTTGTTGCCTGACTGCCACCTAATCTTCCTTCCATCCTCACTCTTTTGAGAAATACGTCCTGTCCCTTTATTTGCCTAGTGCTCTCTAGGAAAAGCAAGGATCCTTCTTTGGTTCACATTGCATCATCACAGCCAAACAGTAACCCTTTCTTGAGCATTAGAAAGAAAAATCATGAAGCAAACTAAGGTATAATATATGTATATATGAAAATGTCACAATGAAACCCCCTGTATAACTATCATATACTAATAAAGATGTTCAAAAAGTATAGAAAGAGAAATCACTCTTGAACTTTAATATCAATGATTTAAGTTGAAATTTAGCATGGAAAAAATATAAGTCCCACAGTGGAGGATGACTGAAGAGTGAATTATGGGGAGGAGTAATACAGTTTAAAAACATTATCATGTCAAAGCAGCTAGAATTATGGTTATAGTTGAACCTTCCACATTTTTAGCACCACTTGTTGGGAAAGGCATCACTCCTCTGTCAAAGGTTTTCTCAGTGGAACCTCCAGGTGCTGCATTCAGACTGGGGCCATTCATTCATCTGCACACTCAAAATTCTGAGACTGTTCCCTCCCTAGGATAGCTTTGCATAGCAGTGTTCTCTTACCAAGTGCCCTGAAAGCCTGCTCAGTCCTTAGGGCTTAGCTCTATAGCACTAAAGTTTAGCATTTCTCCTGTTTATGGAGACACACTCAGACTCATTCTGTAAAGGGAGTCCTTTTTGAGTATGTAAAACAGACTCTCCTCTTATGTCACATAGCCAGGGGAAAAATGTTCAGGAAACTTACTGGAATTTCTTTTTTTTTTTAATATGGATTACTTGATATCCAGGGAGTATGTTTGTGTATGTAAGTTATATAGACACTAAGTGACTCTTTGGAAATATTCCAATTAAAGTGATCAATGGGAATGAAAACCATGATCATTCAAGGCCTTAAATGAACTTTTTGCCTTAACTTTACATAAACCATATGTTTAACAAAATACCATGAAAATTTTTTGTGTGTCTTTTCAGAAATAGGAAATCTGAATAAGTATGTAAAAGGTAAATATTGAATCAGCAATCAATAAACTTCCAACATAGAAAAGTTCAGGACAAGATAGTTTCAACGGAGAATTATACCAAAAGTTTAGGGAATTAATGCCATCCTTCCCAAACTTATAGTATGCCGTGAATACAGTGCTCAGAGTAAAAGGAAAATGCTATCATCATCCTAAGTTGCCATTTCCCATTACAGTAGTCTCCCCTTATTCATATGGGATATGTTCTAAGACCCCCAGTGAATGCCTGAAACCATAGATGGGATCCTATATATGCTGTTTTCCTATATATCCTGTAGCATTGCCACATAATACCAGAGTTAATCTGCCCTCCCATGTTTAATATCCTACTACTACTTCCTTTGCATCACTACTCTTGCTCTCTGTGGCCACAATTTAGTAAAATAAGGGTTACTTGATCACAAACACTGCAGTACCCCAGCAGTCAGTCCAATAACCTAGGCAGCAACTAAGTGACTATCAGGCAAGTAGCATATACAATGCAGACATGCTAGACAAAGGGATGATTCATGTCCCAGGCAAGATGCAAAGATTTCATTACACTACTCAGAAGAGTATGCAACTTGAAACTTTTGAGTCATTTATATCTGGAAATTTCCACTTAATATTTTTGGACTGTCATTTACCATGGGTAACTGAAACTGTGAAAAATGAAATGCCAGATAAGTAGAGCCTTTTGTACTATAATCTGAGTTTCTGAGATCAATACTTTAGAGAAGTACTAGTGATAGTGACAAACAAGTCAAAAAGTCTCAGGCAGGACAAGAAGTAAATGTGGAGAGAGGTATTTTAAAATGGTGATTCCTTTCTTTTCTTTTCTTTTTCTTTTGGCAAAGAGAAATTTTTAATTTTGATGAGATACAATTCATCTTTTTTTATGGGGTACTGGGGCTTGAACTCAGGGCCTACACCATAATCCACTCTACCAGCCCTTTTTTGTGAAGGGTTTTTCAAGATTGGGTCTCATGAAAATATTTGCCCAGGCTGACTTCAAACCATGATGCCCTGATCTCTGCCTCCTGAGCAGCCAGGATTACAGGCTTGAGCCACTGGTGCCCCAGGCAACTATTCATCAATTTATTCTTTTATAGATTTTAAGTTTGGAATTATATATTTAACGTCTTTGCCTTGCTCAAGGTTACAAAAGTGATTCTTAAGATTTTGTTTTTCTATGTTCTCTTTAAGAAATTTACTTACCTCATGTTCTCCTACTCCAGGGGGGAAATGCCAGTGAATAAAATACAAATACAAATAAAATTCTGCACATAATTTGACCGATTCCAAATAAAGACTGTCTGAAAAAGTTGATTGTTTTAAGACAAAGCATATGGTATCTAAAAGAAGAGATTCTAAAAAGTTCCCAAATGTGATGACTAAAGGCATCATATTAAAGAAGAAAGGAAAAGGAATATAGAGTTAAATATACTTGTACTCGATTTAATTGTGGCTCTGGGAACTTACCTTTCTAGGCTTGTTTCCTTCCCTTTAAGTTGGAAAAAATAGTAGGTATTAATAATGGACCTCTTGAGTGCTCTGCTCAGATCCCCTTAGATTCTTACATTTTCAGTGTACCCATCCCCCCAGCTTCTGCCTCCTTTTGTTGACAGTAACCAGCCCTAAGGCCACCACCAAAAAAGCACCTCATACTTTTCTTTGGAGGAACTTTCCTTGTCTGGCAGACCATTATGCCCACAGGTAAAGAAAGCTCTGGAACCTGAATGTTTAGAATTTCCTGGTTTGCCCTTAGCCAATGTCTGATGATAAGGGAGACGAAAAGGCTCAACTCTTTGACCTCATGGTGGGTACTTCTGGGGTGCAATTTACAGCCTATTGCTTCTCTGTGGGCCAGGCTGAAGCCATCCTCCACTAGACCATCTGAAATCCTTGCTTGGGTTCTTCCCCTTTCCTCTCCTCCTTCTATTACCCCTCACCTGTTTCTCCTGGAAATGTTTCCTTAAAATCACATTTGTAGATTAATATTTGAGTCAAATTTCACTGATATGAGTGCCATATTAGAGAGTCAATGTAAGATTAAATGAAATATCATAAGATAGGACCTAGTATAGTGCCTGGATTAGAGTAAGCTTTCAATAGAATGTTTCTAGTATTTTTATTGTGAAGTGTCAGATTTTTTTTTTTGTTGCCATAGGCAAAAGAGAAATTTTCTCTTTCACTGCAAAAACTTCTGAGGAAACTATATCTTGCTTAGTCTATTTGTGGGTATAGTGTGATTTGGAGTGGCCATACACTTTATTCTGTGAAAGTATATCCTGTAAGCCAATCCAATAAACCTCTTCTTATATTAATATATACTCTATTGGTTCTGTCCCTCTGAAGAACCCTGATTGATACATTGGTTTTTAAAATAGATGTAAAGACCATTCAATGAGGAAAGAATAGCACATTCAATAAATGTGGCTAAAATATTTCAAGTGAATGAATTTGGAACTCTACATCACACAACATACAAAAATTCAAATAGACGAAAGACCTAAATATAAGAACTAAAACTGTACAACTCTTATAAAGAAAACTTGGAATAAATTTTCCTGACTTTGGATTGAGCATAGGTTTCTTAAATATGATTTTACAAAAGATGCAAGAAGATGCAAAGAAAATTGGATAAACTGAACTCCATCAAAAACAAAACAATTTGTTGCTTACAGGAGACTCATCTCACCGACAGAAATAAGCATATCTTAGGATGAAAGGCTGGAAGAAGATTTACCAAGCCAATGGCCCCCGAAAAAAGGCAGGAGTAGCAATACCTATCTCTGACAAAGTAGACTTCAAACCTACATTGATCAAATGAGATAAAGAAGGACATTCCATACTAATAAAAGGGGAAATAGACCAAAAGGAAATAATAATCATCAATCTGTACGCACCCAATGTCAACGCACCCAATTTCATCAAACATACCCTGAAAGACCTAAAAGCATATACAAACGCCAACACAGTGGTTGTGGGAGATTTTAACACCCCATTATGATCAATAGATAGGTCATCCAAACAAAAATCAAAAAAAATCCAAGATCTAAAATATGCAATAGATCAAATGGACCTAGTAGATGTCTACAGAACATTTCATC